TAATATATATATATATATATATATATATATATATATATATATATATATATATATATATATATATATACACACACACATATATATGTATATACATATATATATATATATACATGTATATATATATATAAATATAAGGGAGTTTGAGTGTATGGGGGTATAAGAGTATGGGAGTAAGCCTACCCTGTTCCGATGGATACAGAACTTATCAAAGCCTCCCACGCCATACACACTTTCATTAAAATTCTTCTCCTGTGCCAGCCATATCATCCATACGAGCATATCCGCCCCACGATCATACACACATCCCTGCTAAACTCCCTACGCTCTCTCCCACCCTACCACCCTACAGTTCACTCAGCGTGCATACGACACCAAGCTAGCACCTCTTGCCGAGGCCAGTTTCGAGTATGTCTTTGTTCCCCATGAGACCCTAGACGCGCGTGACTTTGGAATGACACTGCTCATGGGCGTCACCGATGAGGCTGGGGCCCAGTTCGTCCACGACGTCTACAACGGCACCTTCACCATCTACGAGCCTGAGGTAAGTTTGTATTTGATGGAAAGAACGTGTGTGCATATGTGTGGGTGTGGGTATGCCTGAGATTGGGGTTGTAGGTGTATGTTGTGCAGATTCTTCGTACCCGCTCCCATGAATCACCCATTGGCCGCATACACTGGCTTGCTTCGCTCGGCCCTATAGCAACTGAATGATGTACAGTCAGTGTTGATACCAGTATAATCCTTTTCTACTTGATACATATCCATCCTATCACCCATTCCTTACTCACTTCATGCCACAGCAACCTCATTGTTCTAAACAGCACCCGCTACTCAGTACATTCATTCACTCTAACCCCTGCACCACACTCACTCCCTCTCCCTCTCCCTTCACGTGACAGCAACTGATTGACTTCCAGACCATCTTCATGGTGGCCATGTCCGTTGGCTTTGTGGGGCTGGTTTCCTGGGGCATGCAGAACGCTTTGGGGGCGCAACAGGGCAAGCGTAAGGTACGGGGTGCGCCTTCTGCGCCTCGAGTGCCTGTTACTAAGGCCGATGCCTCGTGGTTAGAGGGAACCAGCGTTGGTGCCGCGGGCGGGGGCAAGCGATCAGGAAAGAAGTCCAGAAAATAGATGCGGGTGCAGTACTTGGCAGTGCTCGAACAAAGAAAACCATATTAAACAGAACACAAGGGATCTTTCGGGTCGGTCTTGGCATAAACAAAACTGTATGGCAGATTACGTTTATTTTACATATATTTTTAGAATCAGGTATCGATCAGTGACCTCTGGTTTTGCGGGTGTGCAACAATCGCAATGTTTTACTGAAGCCCTAAACCCTAATCGCCATATTTAGCACAAAAACCACTGGCTAGAAAAAAAGCGTCAACGGCAGAGTCGGCATCTCAATTGAAAAAGAGGATGGTAGTATGTATATAGTCCCTAAGGTTTCTTGAAGCGGTTACGGTTCGCCTTCAGGTCCCGCTCATTACTTGAAGTATCAATTTGACGCTGCAATCTCGTTAAAGTGAAGCTCTACTTATTCATCATTGATCCCAGTGTCAAGTTAACCTCTTCCAATATATATATATATATATATATATATATATATATATATATATATATATATATATATATACTATATATATATATATATATATATATATATATATATATATATATATATATATATATATATATATATATATATATATATATATATATATATATATATATAT